CCTACAGCTTTTCTCTACCGGCTTGTGCGTATTTCATGTGGTATCTAATTGGTAAATATTTATAAGCATTTTGAATATTTGACACGATGGTTTATTTAACAATTTCACTTCAAATCTAGCATATAATATTTTTGCTTTCTTTCCTCCCTCCCCCCTCTTTCTCTCAGCTTTGTTTTCTTTCTACCAGCATTTTTATTTAGGGGAGTTTTCTGTTTGTGTTTACAGAATTATTTCTCCATTTTTTTTTTTCTGCTGCCTCTTCTCAAAATGCTAATCTAAGCAATGCAATATTTCTCTCCTTGATATGTGTGATGTAGATTAAATACAAAGAGCCAAGAGCTTGAGGAAACATAAAAAGAGACTGTGCAACGTGCCTGCAGCTTTCATTTGCACAGCAAATTTAATGTTATCCAGTAACACCAGACAGGTTCCTGGTCTTACTTTTTCTTATTTCACTTAACTTTTTACTCAGACTCCATCCCTCTGACCCAAAACAGCTCTTTTCTGAAAAAAATCTGATTGGTTTTGAACAGATGTGGAGACATGACAGAGTTCATTTAGAACATAATCAACAGATAATAATAGGGTACTGGGAGAAATGGCAGTGAATGACAAGCACCATCAGCCTTTTCAAAGCAGAAAAATTAGACATTTTTAACTCCACATGCACAACAGTGTTAGAAGAAGCAGGAAATGACTAATTTGGAATCCTTTTCTAACGTTCCAGTTTTTAAAAAATGATATTGTAACATTCTCAGGCATTGTCCCGAGCCCACTCTGCTCGCTGCCTCTGTTGGAAATCAAATTCTGGTCATGTGTTATTTGATGTTATTTGAAGCAGACTGGCTCTCTGGAGTACTTTAGTTGTATCCTTCATCTTCCTCCCTGAGGCCTGGCAGTGCTCAGCTGTCAGGATGAGGCCCCAGCATCCCTCATGTGTGATTTGCAGTTTTCATTCCTGTAAAGATCCATCTGTTTTATGAACCTCATAATCCTCGGGCTTCTCTGATGTGGGAGCTAGTTGGGGCCCTCAGGAAGGTTTGGGTTGTTGTGGTTGCCTGTGTGTGGTTTTGCAGGGCTGACAGAAGGGCTGAGCTGGAGTTTGTGTCTCCAGCCCTGGATTTCTTGTTGTGGCACAGCTGGTGACCTCCACTTGCAACCCACTGCCTGTCCAGGCAGCAGATGGTTCTCTTCAAGACATATTTTGACCAGGAGGGCCATGAAGTGCCTGGTTTAGGGGCTGAACTTGGCTGGCAGGGCAGTGGGGAAGTGGGGGCTGTCCCTTTGCACCCCAAGACACAGTGGCCGCCGACCCCTCCGTCTCCTGGCAGAGCCCTGGGGTCCTCAGGGCTCTGATCTTCAGAAAGCTTGGTGCAACAAGAACCTCAGAGAATCACAGAATACTCTGAGGTAGCAAGGACTCACAAGGATCATCGAGTCCAACTCCTGGCCATTCCCAAGAGTCACACCCTGTGCCTGAGAGTGTTGTCCAAATGTTTCTCGAACTCTGTCAGGTGCTCTGAGCCTCTTCCAGTGCCCAAACACAGGCTGGGAGAAGAATATTTTTCTAATATCCAGACTAACCCTACCCTGGCACAACTCCAGCTGTTCACTGGTCACCAGTATCTGGAAGTATCTGGAAGTCCATCCTGATTCTCCTCCTCTTCCTCCCACGCCTCTCTAACCTTGCCCTGCAGCCTTCTGTCCTGTGCCAAAGGGAGCCCCACCACTGTCCCAGCACTCCTTTGTGCAGGGAATCCAGGACCTTGGATGCTTCCAAATGTGTGGAATACAGGCAAATGTGTGAAAAACACAGTGCTGGCACGTACAGCAGGAGAGCTTGGATGCTGCCTGTAAATAAATCTTCTTGGCTTCCTTGAGATTGTCACCGTGTGTCACAACTTCCAATTCAGTATTTTATGTGCAGGTACACAATTCCACCAAAAATACACCTCCAAACCAGGATCAGGAGAAGCCTGGCTGTCAGTCCTCTGCTAAACTTGGTTTTTAGGGTAGAGATACAGCCAATAACATGCTTGAAGAGAGAAGTACACTGACATGAGGAGAGTCACTGCGTGGCTGTGTTCTCACTGTCAGGCTGATCAGGATTTTCTGTGCTGACTGGGAGCACTACAGAAGCCAGAACAAAGAAGGCAAATGCCTTTGTAAAAGGGATCATCAGAAGACACAGCAGGTTCAGTGATCATTGAGACTTGTCTTAACACATGAGCAGTCTCCTGAGAGCAGTAAGCTGCTCTTCTGCTTGGCTGCAGAATTGCTTGAAGGCACTTTATTTTATTTTATTTTATTTTATTTTATTTTATTTTATTTTATTTTTTATTATTGTTTTATTTTATTTTACATTATTTTATTTTATTTTTATTTTATTTTATTTTTTTTCTTTCTACAGCCTTTATGTTGGGTAGATTGTATGGCTGCTTGTGTCTACTTAAAAATCAGAGCAAAAAACTTTGAATGGGGAAATCCTTCATAGCCTCTGCAAATTTACAGAACCAGTAAAAACATGAGATTTGGAGATGGGAATAAAGCTGGGCCTTGATGGAGTTTGTCAGGTGGGAACCTGCCATTTACAGTTGCTTTAGAATCACTTTGCTAGATGCAAACTAAACTGCTTTCCTTAAAGGAAGAGAAAAATAATCTGAGGTAACCCTTGCTAGTTGCTCAGGTGATGTGGAAGTGGTGATGAGAATTCCCTGAAATGTGCTGGTTAAGAGATAAGCTTGTGAAGTTTGCAAACAGAACATAGAGAATGGTACTAAAGCTCAGCAGAGTTCTCATCCTTGTGGATTTTTAATGTGAATTAAGCATCCCCATTACCTATGGCAAGCAGGCATTTCATTCACAGCCTGCATCTATTTTCAGATCTATCTATGTTTGGTGTCCTTCACCATTCCTGGGGTTGTTTTGAGGCTGATATTCTTGTTTGGTCATCTGTTCTCTCAGGGAACAGGCAAGCTTTCTATTTATTGAAATTCATCTTGGTGTGGGGAAGATTAAAGCCTGGAATTGATTTGAGAGGAGCACTTTGAAGCCCTAAAGTACAATCTGTCTCTCATTTCCATTTCAGACCTTGCTTCACCCCACATTTGAAAACATTCACTCTACAAACCCTATCTCACAAAATGCTCAGGTACCAGATTTAGATGCAGATGAACCATCATTTTCTGAGCCATAAGAACACCTTAAATCTTAGTGCACTAACTTGGCATGTTTATAGGATCCTTGGTGCCCCTGCTTCTGCAAGGGGCATTCACCAGGGTAAGGATCTGCTGGTTGTTCTCATGTCTCCTTTTAATGAAGATTTGAAGTTCTTGCTGATCTCCATTAACAACACAATTAGAACATCCAGGCTGATCACTGGGGGAAAAGGGGAACCAAGGTTTCAACCTTTTTGCCAGATAACATCCAAGTTTCACCTTGCAGAAGGTCTCAGCACTAAAGCAAAGGTTATTCCCCAGCTCTGCTCCTCAGGCCCTTCTCCTGAACCCCTCAGAAATGGCATCTCTTTCCTGCAGAACACCCTCATCCCAGCCCTGAGGGGCTTTTGGTTCCCTGCAACTATTCCATTGCTCTGTGCCAACTGAGACAGCTCTTCCCAGCCTTCAGCAAACAGGGCAGCATGGAAAGCAAAGTTGGGACACACCCCCACAGAGTAGAATCAACCTCAAACCTACGGCAAAGTCATTCAACCAACTCATTTAAAAATTCATTATCAAGAGCATCTCAGTTCTGAAGGGGAAAAACTGTCCAATGAGGTTCAGCCACCTCTCATAACATCATATTTTAAAGTGTGCTGTTAATTATTGAATGTTTGCACAGTACTTTGGGAACTTTGTCTAACAAGGAAGGCTGATATGTTGCTATGTGTAAATGATAGAATTAATAAAATAGAAAACATAGAAGCACAAAGCCAGGTTACCCTTATCACTTCATCAAAGCCAGGTTTAACTATCTTCTTTTTTTGGCTGCTGGCTTAATTAGATAAGCTGCTGAATTTAATTAACTCATCAAACCTAATTTGAAAAGATCTCTCAAGTCAGTAAGAGCTTGTCTTACGTTTGTTATTTCTACCTGTTGCACTGAGCCTTTAATATCACCGTTTTGCTACGATATTAGTGGTAGCCTTAATTGTGTTCTGATTTACAGTGTTTACTCAGGTGGTGGCACTTGCCTTGTTTCTTAAGTACCAACATGAAAATCAATCACAATTTAATTTAAGGCAGTGAAATCACTCTTCTTAACCCTCTGTCAAGTCAGCTACACGTTAACCCCTGTCCCATAAGTGTAATTTGGGTTTGAAAGGTGAAATTATTTCATATTGAGTTTCTGAAGTCCCAATTCCTGGAGAATGCTGTGACACAAAGATCCTCTGGATGCTCTTTTGGGACTGTTTAACCAAATTCTAAGGTAATAAATTTGAGGCTGAAATTGGTATTACAGCTACATAATTCATTTGAACACACATCAGTGTGTGATGCTCCAGCTTGTTGTACTAGTCTGAAACTTCTAAAGACAGAATTACTAGGAAAGAACCTAAATTGAAATATTTTCTGTATATTTTAACCAGTTAGCAGGACTTTTTTTTTTTTTTTTTTGGCCCAGGTTTTACATTCCTAGAGATTTGCCACACAGAGAGGAGAGAGATAAGTTGATTGCTTAAAAACCAAAATTTCCCTAGAAATTATTTCCTTGCTGTTCTGTAAAAAGTTGTTCTATTGCAATGCTCTGCAATTCTATTATGCTGCTGGTAGAAACATTGCTAATTAAGCCTGGAGGAGCTCGTGTGTATTTGTGAAAAACCATCAACATGCTGGGTGAAATCAAGGGCTTTCTGCCTCTTCCAGGCAGCAGAAGTAACTTTGCTCACAATTGCTCTCTCTTCTTTTTTTTTCCTTTTATTTTCATGCTTTTGAGTGCACAATTAAAATAATCAATTAAACAACTAAATGATTTGGTTTTTTTTTTCTGTTTTCCCCCAGAACGACTATCGGAAGTTATCTATGCAATGCAAGGACTTCGTGGTGGGGGTGCTGGACCTGTGCAGGGACACTGAGGAGGTGGAGGCCATTCTGAATGGAGATGTCAACATCCACTTGTACCCTGAGCACCACCGGCCAAGCCTGAGCAGGATTAAACTCGCCATCAAATACGAGGTCAAAAAGGTAAAGTTATTCCTTTGGCTCTCTGGTGGTGAAGTGTTCACATCTAAATGATGCTTCCTCGATGTCACCTGAAAAATCATAAATGAGAGATAGAATTCAGTGGATCAGGACTGTCCTGAGAACTGTGGTGTTTTGTGGGTTGGTTTGCATTTTGTCATGTTGTTTCATGTCGAGAAGGTTATTTGCAAAGTGAAAAAAAAAACCAAACAAAAAAATCCATAGTGTTTAAAACAACTCTACAGCTTCACAGAAGTGTGTTGTGCGAATGGAAAATTTTATTCTGGCAAATTCTAGGCCTGGGTGGTCCCAATTAATTGCTTCCACAATATGCATTGATGCGAGCTGGGCTCCTGCTCTGGAACTCAAAGAGTGTTCCAAATTTTCAAGCTCACATCTGCTCCCTCTTTCCCCTCCCTAACCCACCACCTGCTTCCTTTTGCCTCTTGACTGTGCTGCTGTGCTGGCTGGAGAAGGTCTTTTCCTGTTATGAAAGCCATTAATTAAAGAGAATCTTAAAGCTCATGTTTGAAATTAAATGCTTTCACGCAGGAGCACATGCTGTGGAGCCAAATATTTTCTCCAGGGATGTTGTGTCTCTGCATTGTTCCATCACCAAAACTGAGCAGAACATCTCAGCTCACTCTTAGTTACAAGCTGGGTCAAGTTTAGTTATTGAAATTGTTGCTTTGGTGACAGGAGCCAACCTTGCTCTGGTGCCCTTCAGAAAATGAACTGATCTAAAAGACACAGATAGAACCTCATCAAGGGACAATCCCCAGTGATTATCAGCACTTTGGTCAGAACATCAAGGCTTTTCCATGTGTGAAATCTGTGCTGTTTTGCTCATTTATTCTCCTAAATATTTCTGCCATCCCTCAGACACCAAGACCACGAGCTGGAGTTGCTGCTTTGAGCACATCCATCCATCCATCCTGGCTTAGCTGCTTCCAGAGGCACATTCCTCCTTTTCTTACCCTGTATTCAAGTGCACCTTTTTGGAATACCCTAAAGCATCCTTGGGAGGTCATGTACACTTGATCTTTTTTTTTGTATAAAATATCTTCCTGTGCTCAGGAAAGCTGAGCATCCTTTCTGGATCATGGCAACTTGCTGCTCACCAATAACAAATGTTAAACTAATTCTGATAGTTATAATTGGAATATAAACATGAGCATTCATGACTCTCAGGTCAACACTTCTCAGCATGTTTTTTTCAGCACCATATGTGTAAGATGAGTACTTAACTGCTGGTTCTAAGCTATTTGTGGGAGGCAGAGACACATTCAGACAAATGACTTTGGTTATTGGCAGTGACATGACAATAGACTGATGTTTATCACACCTGCTGAACAAATACCTTGTGTTATGGTAACACAGCAATGATTTCCTTACCAGGCAAAACACTTCAGGTGCAAATTTTTGTTCAGTTCAGAGGTATTTTTAGGTTTATATATATAAATCCTGTGCTTTGAAATCCGTGTTCACTTCAAGAAAATCCTATGATGGAGAGGGGTGAGAAGGAGGGTGTTGTATTATACATATTTAATAGACCAATTCTTGCACAGATTCTGTTGATATCTTCTGACCTCCTCTACTCAGTAAACCTTCAACTGGCACCTACAACAGCTTTTTGTCCCCGCCCTAAATGATCCTTCTCTGCATTTTTTTCCTTTGTTCTCCCCATTGGAGTTCCCTGTTAATTCATCCATTTGTTACTTCAAAAAAACCCAGTTCTCTGTTCACCTGAAAGGACACAGTTTTATTGATCATTATCTCTTTTCCTGATTTACAAAGTTTGAGATGAGTCTTGTAAAGTCATTCAAGAAAGCATCAAAGGTCACAGACTTCACTTGTCTGTCTCCTTGTTCCTTTTGTTTCTTTTTTTCTGCAAAACACTGTGAGACGGTGGTGAGAAGTTTAAGGCTCTAATATAATTGAAGGACATTATATAAAGGTAATTGAAGAATTAAGAAACTCTGCTTTTACATATTTTGCAGCTAAAATTACAGTAGTTTACAAAGTGGTCTTTAAAAATGCTGTATTACTGTAATGCTCTACAGTTTTTTGAAAACCTAAACAATCACTCTGTACCCCAGGATTCTTGGAAAAAAATTCACTCCAATGTCCTCTGTTGAAGTTTTCCAGAGGCATTTTAAATGAACTTGCTTAATAATTCATGATTCCTCGAAAAATATTAAAATGGGTACAGTCTGTCAAGAGCAAAACAAACAATTTTCAAACATTTAAGCATTTACTGAGTCCTGGATTCTTTGCAAGAAACGGGCTTTTAGCCCAAGTTATGGCACTGCTGCAACTTGACCATTGATGTTATTTAGTGATGCTTTGAACTTGCATTCTCCAGTCAGGAATGATTTAAGTTGGGTGGTTTTGGTGGATTATAACCAAGGATCAGGAGCTCTGTGATACCCTGAGCTGCTCCTCGTGCAGGCTGATGAGACCTGGAAGTTTACTCTGTGTTCTGGATGGAAAATGTTATAGAAATGTGATTTTTTTTTTTTTCTTGAGACAACCAAACAATTTTGTTTTCAGTCAGATACTGGAAATATTAGGGTAGCACAGGTTTTCTCTGTGTGTGAACTCATTTCTAATTAAGCCAGAGTATGATTTCTGCCTTTGAGAGGTAGAGGTACAGAGGCTGGGACTACCCTTGGACAGCCAATAGTGAGAAAATGAAGGTTTTGATGTCCCACAACAAAGCTATTTTTCTGCTTTATATCAACTGTAAAGAGGCCTTCATATTTTCTCTTCTCTTCTAAAATCTACAGATTTTTAATCTGTACCACTATGATCCTTTCATGTGTTCCTTTAATGTTGGCAGGGGGCTTATATGCCAACACTTCCCTTTAGGTGTAAAGCTGATGCTTCTCTGTAGGAGGTGACATCTCATTTTCCTTCTTTCCCAACGGCAGAATTATTGCTGCTGTCTTCTTTTAATTGCAAATGTTGAGTAGCCCACCTCTGTTTTCTCAGTAGCCACCACAAAGCCAGAGCACCTTCCTCTTTCACGAGTTTTAATTTAATTAACAGTAAGACACATAAATTGGGTTGGGGGAAAAAAAAAAAAAGAAAAAAAAAAAAGAAGGAAAAAAAAAAAAGAAGAATTAAACAGAACACCAGATGGCTGTGTAAATCCTATTTAACAGAGAGCTGGAACAGGAACTTTTCTTATAACTATATTATTAATAATTAACATGTGGAGGATGCTCTGAACAGAATACTCATGGCTGCATTAGATTATAACTTTTCACTGCCTTGGTCACACCACTCAGATACTGAAGGGCATAAAAAGTCCCCGGTCTCATCAACTGCTGCAGCAATCTGTGCTCCCCATCATTGACCCAGAGGAGGGGGTTTTACCCTGCACAATACCCTGGACAAGAAATGCCTGCCAGGGTCTCTCTCCCCATGGAATGGGGCTTTTCCAGCCCTCACAGGAGCTGGGGAAGGTGAATTAATTCCTGAATGGGCTAAAGAAGCAGCCCTGTTCATGCTGAAGAGACACTTCTACCCCCCAAAAGGTGCATTAGCAGAAAATGACATTTTGGTAACCCAAAATGAAATATTCCAGCTCCACAGCTTTAGGAATTTCTCTCAGGACAAGCACTGATCTGTCACTACCCCCGTGGCTGGGACAGGACAGGCTTATGTCTGACCACCCAAGTTTGAAGCCTGAAGGAGGAGAATTCCTCAAGAAAAAAAAAGGATTTCAAGGAATTGGAGTTTTGTCTCTGCACCTCCTGGTTCATTTGTTCCCACTTTTTAGTTTCAGGAACATTTAACTGAGGTCTTGTAGAACCATCGGTGGTTTGGACAGTGGTGGTGGGAAGAAAAGTGTCTCTCATTTCCACCACTGGAGAGCCAGTTGATACTGTACAAATGTAATTTAATATTCAGGGGAACAGTGGAAACACTCTGGTCATCCTGGACTCTTCAGCTTATCCACGTAACTTTTCTTTTTACATTTTTAATTGCATATTACAGATGTTTTGTCAGAGGTTGGAAAGGGAAGGAGTCACTTCCCTTCCTCACAGAAAACATTTCTATATCTCTGAGTATTTCATTAGCAAGGTTCCTTCCTCCCACGAAAATCTGTGACTCTGATTATTTCCTCTTGCCCAGATGTTTTAATCTTTTTTTTCTTTTCCGTGACGAATCTCATTTGGTTATTTCCTGCCCATACATCCATCCTCTTAAGGCTTAAATGAATCATTTCTCCCTCCTGGATGGTGTTTGCAATATTCCCAATTTAATGTAATATGCAGACTTAATTATTTTCATTTGCAGAGTGCCACAGGGCCTTAGATGTCCATCAAGATATTGAGAAGTCAGCACAAGAACACATCAAACTCATTACATGGATGTACATCACAGATGAAAGGACTTAGGATTACCTTTATTAATAATAACATTCTTTTAGAGAAGGGCCATTTTCTCTTAGACAAAAAAAAAATATTAATTAATATGGTTTGCTACAAACCTGACTTTAGCTGGCTCCAATTTTGAATTTATTTATGTCCCCATAGGCAGCAGACCTGGAAATGTGCATTTTGGATGGAAATTCAGGTATAGATGAACGCAACCCTTCAAAAAAAAAAACCCTAAAAATTCAGTATTTCAAGTTACTGAGGGTATTTTCCCAAGTGATGTTCAAATTTGGATGTCTGCATGGATACTGTCCCAGGGGGAGGCTTTCCTTCTTGTCACCCAGCTGTAGATTTCTGCATCTGAGCAGGTTTTTGGGACTTTCTGCCTGATGAAGAGAGGAGTCTCATCCTATGAGTGAGTCTGTCTCTCCTTCAGCTCTGCTGGGAGTGGAACTATTTACACCAGAGACATCTGAGCTTGAGAACAGCCCAGTTTCTTCACCATGTAGCCAAAGGAAAATAATTCCTGTCTCTCCTGGGAGGGGAATAGCCTCTGGAATTTTAAATTTCTCCTTCTGTGCCTGCTGTGGTTGGTTTTTGAGATGCCAAGGGGAC